TATATATATATATATATATATATATATATATATATATATATATATATATATATATATAATACTTAAATATTTTTATTTGTTTCTCATCTTTCTTTTTGAAAAATTTACCTGAATGCCTTTTCAACCTCGTTCTGTTGAAAGATGTGCCGTGTAAGCGGTTTAATTGCGCCTTCACGAAGAAGTCTGCATATTATTTGATATAATTCTTCCTTTACTTTTTTACTGTATGTTGCCACAATATCGTATAAAACGCCATGAACACTTCTTCCTTCTTTCAAATTCCTTATTGCTGCAAAGAAATTAAATATTCTTATAAGTACAATTATGAAGATAGATATACTTCCCTCAGTTAAAACTGTCCTTAAAGATAGATTTTTAAATAAGGTTACGTACAATTTTTCGAAAACTCGACTACTTTTCGCGTAATTTTTACGGGCAAGAAAGTATGAGCTGTTTGAGCACCACCAGTTTAGAAGAGATTTTGTCTAAGACAAAAAAGGCCACTTAAATTTTGAAGTTTTAAAATGTTAACGTGTTCCATTTTTCGAAAATTTGGAGAGTTTGCCGAAAATGAGGCAAGCACAGTTTTACCATCACTTGATACATATAAGAAGAAAATTTACAGAATAAATTTGCATCGGTTTTTGAGAAAAAGTGTTTAAATTTTAAAATTGTCTATACATCGCGCAATATCATACGAAAACGTCTTATATTTTTGAAAAAAATGTTCATGACCTTAATTCATAACGTTAGATAAAAACAGATTTTATTAAGAAAAAAACGCTGCTCATTAAGGAAAATCTGATTTCTGGCAATAGAGACTTTTGCATTAGACAAAGTCTATCTTCAATATTGTAGTTGTAGCAAAACGCCCAAAAAATTACATTTTTCTCATTTTCGAAAAATCAGGGACTCTGCGTCTTCGAGTTCGATCAGATTGATCGGGGAATATCAATGTTGGAGAAAGTAGGCTGATCGGTTTAGGAGATAGCGTTGACCACGCAGGACACACAGACAGAGGGACCGACGAACGGGTGGACAGAGAGACGTTTTGCCGTCAATCGATTTTTCGGTATCAAGGGCTCACAAAACGGATTCCAGCTACACCACTTGTTAGCGGAAGTACTTTACCATATACAGGATCAGGGTTTATCTTTTCAATCAACGAGCCCCGGCAATATCTGTTTTTCTGCAGAATATTCGCAGTCTTCAGGTGCACGATTTCAAAATAATATCGATTACTTGTTACAAAGTAAGTGCGATAAAGCAAAAGGGATAATTATGTAAAATGACGTGTGATAACAGCGTAACTTTGAATACGTACCGATGTCCGTGTCTTTCTGCATGTCTACAGCGCCCATCTCCAGGAAGCGGCCGCGCGGAGCTAGACACCGCAGGCCCGCGAACAGCAGCTCGCCGCTGAGAGAGTTGAGCACCAGGTCGACGCCCCGGCCGTCTGTGCGCCGCATGATCAGCTGTTCGAAGGAGGCATCACGCGTGCTGCCGATGTCTTTGGGGTCCAACTGTGAGGATGGAATTAATAGTTTGTTGTGATTGTTCTCTTTCCCTTCCTAATTGTCTCTGTTGTAAGCATAATCGTTATTGTTATTGTCGTCACCTCTATCATCGCTGGCGCAATGAGAATAGGGGGGTTAACAAAATCAAATTTGCATTATTTATTCAAAATCGAAACTTTTTCATTTTTTTTTACTTTCCCCGTATTCGTGCGCATCTAAATAAACCACAAACACATCATAAATTGCCGGAGTCTGCATGGTTTCCCTTCGAATAATGGGTCCACTGGAAATAAAGATTATTATTACTACTACTGCTGCTGCTACTGCTACTGCAGTACAAGTAGTAGTAGTACTACTACTAATAATAGTAATAATAATAATAGTAATAATAATAGTAATAATAATAATAATAATAATAATAATAATAATAATAATAATAATAATAATAATAATAATAATGCCATGGAAAGTTCGAGAATTCTTTTACTTTATATTTATTGCACTGACTACTTTTTTATCAATTTCCCCTTCCATGATCTTTGATTACAAGTTTCGCCAACGACTAGCAGTGCCATTCATACAGATAAAGTGGCATACGCCGAGCAGGAGCGTCTTGACGAGGAACTCACCTGCGGAAAGAGGCGCATCAGAAATTCCTTTTTCTCTGGCGAACCGACGGTAGCGAATACTCGCACGCCGTGGTGCAGCGCCAGGTGGATGGCTGCCTGGCCCACGCCGCCCGTGGCCGCGTGCACCAGCAGCGTCTCTCCTTTGCGCATGCGTGCCAGTAACACCAGCGCCAATGCCGCCTGTTCACACACCGTCGGTGCTCAGGAAAAATCGGCGGAAAACTTTGCAAAATGTTAATAGGACGATTTGCAACATAGAATTGATCGACGTTTCCGAGCGCGTCAACTACTAACGATTTTAGACCCGTAAGTGTGATGTGTGTTTTATTGCGGGAGTGACAGTGATCTTCACCCGTTGGATAGCGAGATCCGGTGCCGCCATACACGTGGGCTAGCGAGGCTTCCCCAAAAAGCTATCTCCCACGCACGGGGCGCCGCCCCAGTCGTGACAAGCTATAAGCTCCCGGCTGGTCTGAGAATATGACAAGGAAGGAAAGATCGCGCGCGGTCCATGGCTCGTTTGTTAGGGTACTGATTCGGCATTCTTCTGGTATTGATCGGAGAAACCACGGGAAACTACCGATGAGAGCAACCGGCAGCTAGAATTCTCCTCCAGACAGCCGTTTTATTCGAACTAGCTACAGTATGTAGCTATTGTCGCAAATCCTGCCACCGCCGGCCGAACTCTAGGACCAACCAGTCGAAGGCACTGCAGTGACATTAATCGATGCCTTGAGCCATTTAAACCGGCGCGCATTTAGAAAATGAGAACTCTCTTAAGGGAACGACCATCGTGATGGTCGAGGGACCGCAGGGGTCCGCGGCTGGGCGCCCCAATCATCAACTGTCCGCAAGCCACCCATTTGATGAGTAGACACGCTGTTTATTTACAAGTAAATCAGTGTTCTTTGTTCAAACAGCTATAATTATCGCATTTTGTATTTTCCCGTATACGTACGTATATACAGTACGCATATATGTAGTATAGGCAAAGTTATGTAATGCTGCAAAAAATCGATTACGAAATTTGAACGGAAATACCAGTACAGGTTTTGGGGTCCCCTCATAACGAAAAAGTGTTTTTTTAAACGTCCGTTCGTCCGTCCGTCCGTCCGTCCGTCCGTCTGGTGTCTGCGAACACCAATAGCGCCTAAACCATGCGTAGAATTTTTTCCAAATTGAAGAAACCCGTGTCAATCATGCTCAAATGGAATTTTGATATTTCAAAAAAAAAATCTTTAAAATTTGGGGGTATTATACATGAAGCCCTCCGAACATTTTCAACATTTTCTCAAAAACGACTCTAAATCATTTCTTTAAATTTCTTGCAAGAATAGAGTATAATGTACGGGAAAGTCTGTGCCATTCTGTTGCACTACTAATTTATGTATTTGAATGCTGTGAGTGTACATTCATACTTACTGTGTTGTAGGCTACTGGTACCGTAGCTGCATCTTCCATTGTCCAATGGCTAGGAATTTCCCAGTATTCCCACACATTCACTATATTCGCTAGAGAACCACCCAACGTCACACCCATTACTCTTCGACCATCAGCGAGTCGACCGGAACCTTCATAGTGCATAAAGCTTAACTGTAAAATTCCAGAGAACAAGTAAATATATTTCACAAATTGCATTTTGACAAATATTAATAGAATATTTTATTTAAATAATTTACTTATACTAGTAATTAGTAAATTATTATTTGCAAAATTGAAAAGAATTTTACACATTGTTAAACTACTGCAAACAGTCCTAAAATATGTTTGTTGTAAACACTGGAAATATATAATAATATACAACGAACATGAAATTTAATGAATTCAGAGCTATCGGCAATTATTATTGCATTAGCAATATATTTGTATGAAACATTTACTCAAAGAAATATTGTATACATAAAAAAATACTGAGAAAAAAATTCAGCTTGGCCAATTTCAAAAAGGGGTTAACTGTGAAAACAGAAAAAAATATAGTGGAAAATTATATTTCAAAAATATTAAA